ATAAATTAAAATGAAAACCAATTGAAAATATTAAAATATAAGATTCCTGCAATTTCTTCATGAACATTACATAGCAACAGTCATGAAAAAACTAACAGAAGCAGGTCCTGCATAATTACATGACAATCGTGACTCTTCAAGCCAGTAAATTTTTCCTTCACTTTTATCGACGTTGCTACACAAATTTGATGCATAACCGTCTGGAAATACCACTATATATGTAATGTAATCAGAGAACTCCTCTTTTGCAGTTGCATCTAGCCGGTATATGGGAAAAAGGAACCACACAATTTTCATCAACGTGAAGTTCAAAACAAGCAAAATATCGACTAAATTCAGTCTTGACTTCAAATTATCCTTCAGTTTTGCCTTGGATGTTAAGGATTGTGTTAATCAGATTATGAAAACAGATGATATTGACTAAATTTAGTCTTCTCAATATGCATGACATCTAAATTATGCCGCAACAGATGATCATTCCAGTATGACAGATCCCAGAAAATACTATTTTCATCTAATTGTGTAGTTCTCCAACAGCGTCGGCTCGAATATTTTCATGTCCACCTACGTATGGCGTCCTTTCTGCAAAAAATCTCTTAACTATTTCCAAAAATCTTTCCCACTAAATTCTTCAGGTGGACTGTCAAATACCTTATTGCTCTTCGTAAACAAAGTTATACTATTACGATATGGATGATGGGTGGTAGAAATCTTGTATGGTAGTCAAACCAACACTTTTTCCTTCCATGTTTTACTTCGAAAGCATATGTGATATCTTCATAATATGGATATGATAGCCTCCCATATGTTGTCCATCCAGATAACATACTATATGCTGGAAAATCACTTATCGTCCAATAAGTACTGCTCCCATCTAAACGTTTTCTTTACACAAAATATCATATGTCTCAGCATAATGCGCCCATAGTTTTTGCAACTCATATATCAGTGGCTGAAGAAACAAATCAAGTGATCTCTTAAGATTTTCTGGCAGAACGAGAATGAAGAGAAACAAAAACTCTTGTTGCATGCACAAATTGGCCATCAAGTTGTGGTGTCAAAATCACTAGCCATAGAGAATATTGTCTTCCATGCTTTATAAATGAGCTGAAACCATAAGGCATAATCCAAGATAGACATTTCTTCTCTCATGGGCAAATTCTGGATATGTTGATCGGAAATGGTTCCAAGCTTTTGCATCTGAAGGATGTCTAATCTAACTATCTGTGGAGTGCTCTGCATATCATCACATTGGTTGGACTGTGTGTTCGGACTGATGCAACCTCTTCAATCTTTCCATCAAAGGCAAATATCACATCCTTTTAAATGGCACCAGAACTCCTTCCCTCGTATCCTGATAACGAGGTTTCTCACAAAATTTCCATTTATCCTGATTCTCATCCGCTATCTAATAGATCATGCAGCTGTCAATGCATACATCTATCACCTAATTCGATAAACCAAGACCCACTATAAGTTTCTGAACTTCATAGTATGAATCCGGTGCAGATTATCCTCTGGTAGAATACCTCTAACAAAATCAGCAATCGCATCCATGTATTCTTCAGTCAAATAACAATTTGTCTTAATAGCTATCAATCTAGTTACAAATGAAAAAGGTGAACGACCATCTCAAACTTTGTACAAAAGTTATTTTCCTGCCTCCAACATGTCAAAAAATCTCTTAGATTATGCTTTGTTCTTCTCCTCTATAATGATCATTTACCATCTTCTTAGTACCTACATCATAATCTACAACCGTTCTTGGTTATACTATCATATCAACAGGCTGAGGTTCGCTGATACCACTATATCCATAACCAGTTTTCCCATGAAGATACCAAACACTATAATTTTGTGTAAACCCCTTCATATAAAAATGAGTCCAAACATCTCATTCCTTTAAAACCTTATTATTATGCAGGAAGAGCAAAACATCTTAACATACCTGTATTTTCTTATAGTTGTTGTTGAACAAGCCTCATAAATTCACTAATACCTTCTATATATTCTTCCGTAAGAAAATTGGTGCTTGAATCCAAATGAGGTTTATCCATCCATGATCGATAATGGTTTCCAAAAGACATGATTTTTTTTTGGATTTATATTGACTGAAGAGAGTGAATAGAGAATGAAGAGTAAATGAGGGGAATGAGAGGGGAGCTTCTATTTATTAAAAAAAATTACAGACAACTCCGACGGATAAGATAAATTTTGTCAGAAATTTAAACGGTCATATATTTCATTGGAATTCTGTCAGAAATCAAATTAATCATATATTTTTTTGGAATTCTGTTGGTAATTCCCGATGAATTTCGGGACGAACATGAAATATTTAAGCCATTTAAAATGGTCGCGTAAAGGATATATATTTCCCTCGGAATAATGTCGGAAATTTGTGACGATCGCTCTATTATCAATATTATGTCAGGATTTTTCAAAGACAATCTGACGAATCTTAATATATGCTTTTCGTCGGAATTTTATCGGACATTGGTTAAAAAAGTCCGACAAATTTTATGTTCGTCAGAATCTCTATCAGAATATACTATATTTTTTTGTAGTGGTCTATGTTTGTCCGAGAACAAAAAAGGTGCAAACAGCATGTGCACATGTCATCCCCAGAAGTTATTGTAATATAATTTTTCGTATAAAAGAAAATATCCAAAGTCAACACATGGAAAATAATTACTAAAAAATCTCAAAAACCAAAATTTGTAGGATCACAAAGTTATTAAATAACCATAAGAAACAAAAGAAAATTTGAATTATTAAATAAAATTAGGGCAAAACATAAATAAAGACATCATGAAAAATAGAGACTTTTACGACTGAACAAAGTGAGTAGGTGGATAGAAATCTCTATCAATAACCTTTGAATTGATTTTTAAAATAATTACTTTTGTGCAAAATGATTCTTGAAAAAAAAAACAATTCTCGTATTTCTAAAAAATAAAACATTTCTCATATAGACATAAGATTAAAAAAAAGCACAAGAGAATAATCTCGAGATGTACAAAACCAAACCAAACCGCGTTGGTTAAAGTAGTAAAGAGGTTTTGGCTGGAACTTCTGCCACTTGAGTGGATTCGCCTTGGTCACCTAGCCACGCCTTAATTGGAATAATGTGTATCCAGATGCAAGGTCTTGTAGAATTAATGTTTGGATCTAGAAAGCTTTTAGGATCTCCAAAGTTATCAAATGAAAATAAATTTAACCGGTGAACCTAGACTGCCTTTCATTTCCTCACATATTCAGAAAACCACTAATTTTTTTAATATATACGACAAGCGCTAATACAGAGAACCCTGATGCTAACTTTATCTGAGTATCCATCTTAATATTGTATAATAATAATTTACTGACTCCATGATAGTATATATACATATTATCATACATCTGCACATTTATCATGTTTCCAATAAATTTCAGTGAGTGATTAATTTATTTAAATTAAATAATATTTCTCTGTTTTAAAAATTATGTTTAAAAGAAAAAAAAATATATAAAAGTGCATTGAAATGTACATTCAATACACACACTTATTATCTTAAAAATTAACATTTATTACTATTACCAAATAAAAGTGCATTGAAATGTCCAAAATGTATACTTCTAAAACATAGAACATTTTAAAACATAAACAAATTATTATTTATAAATTTATTAATAAAGTAGAATTAGAAGTTAGAATATATATATATATATATATATATATATTATGTCCGAGCTAATATTTAAAAACATATCATATGTATCACCTTTTTTTATAATATACCAAACATTCTGTTATTATAATATGTAAGTGGTATGTAATATAGTCACTTATCAATTCTATTATAAAAAAATCAAATTTTATCTACTTGTAAAAAGTAATCGAACAAAACAGAAAAAAACACTTTAAATTAGGTTTGAGGTTTAGGTACCCGTGGATACGGGTTGAGTATTTTGAATTTCGTTTCTAATTTATATCACATCTTAGGTTTTATCATGGTAAATTTGTAACTACGGATCAGGTTTGGATATAACACATTGGTTTTGGTTCTAATTTGTAGCACATCCTAGAACCCATAAATTAACCATATATCATTTGAATTGAGTTTTATTGGTCTGTTTTAAATATCTCCGAAATTAAATCTAGAATTTATAATAAAAATATAAGAAATGAATAATTATTTATATAGAAGATTTATGATACTTATTTAAAATTCAAATACTTATTTTTAGATATCATTTCAAAATAAATTTAAAACTCAATATTTATTTTTTCAATATTTTTATTTGTGATTAATTTGGATATTCATATCGTTTTTTCATATTTGTTTTGGTTTTCAATTTTTTGGGTTACCCGTTCAGGTTCAGCTAATAACACTTTAGATTCAGATATATTTTATACCACTCTACAAGACCTATTATGGTATTTCTTACATTTTTTTAGCAAGAACGGACCGTTTTTTGTTTTGGTTTGGGTACGGTTCGGGCTTTGGGTTATGGATTTTATGCTCAGCCCTACTTTAAATAAAAAATGCGATTATTTAAAAAAATTACTGAAAAATTATCTCTCTTTAAAAACGCGGATCAAAATCTAGTTATTATATTAATATATATTATATATATATATATAGAACTAGATTTTAGGATATAACTATTCTACTATCTTAATAGTATCAAACAATACTAAAAGCTAAATATAAAGTACAATGAGACTGTCCACGTCAACAAATAAATCAACCAATCATAACATTTAAATATGCTACAGCACTACAAGCCACATTATCATTAATATGACGTCATTTTTTCCTCACTGTAGAGAAATTGTTTCTTCATCTCTTCTACGGAGTTTGATTTTTTTTTTTTAAACGTGATACTGCATCTAAATCTGTCAACTTCCTTCTCCTCTTTGTCTTCTTCTCTCGAGAAAGTTACGCTCTTTTTCTTGTGACTAGAAAAAAAAAACACTTCCTTCTCACTCTTACAACTTTCTGTTTTGAGTTTGTGTGATGTCTTCGGAGAAGGACTTTGCAGAGTTTTCAGCTTTGTTCGAGAGAATGATCCGACAAGGCAAAGGTCTCTCTCGATTCTTACCCTTGATCTTATTTTTAGCCGGTGAAGCCATTGAGGACGGTGAATCATCCGATCAGACGGGGAGACAGAGAGGGATCGTCATCGATTCGGTGAACCGGAGAGTTATGATAATCAGATCAGCTTTGGGATATTTCTTAAAGGAAGACGTTTCTGGGAAATAAGGGAAATTGCCGGCGTCGAAATAGTCGGTGGAGAGTATGCCACATGTCGTAATCATAAAAGATGAGGAGAGAGGAGGAGCGTGTCCGATTTGTCTCGAGGAGTGGTTGGAAGGTGACGTGGCAGAGGAGATGCCATGTAAAGCACAGTTTCCACTCAAAGCGTGTAGGAGTGGTTGGGGAGACATGCCACGTGTACGTTGTGCAGGTACAAGATGGCCTGTTGAAGAAGTGGAGGGAGAGAAGAAGGCAGGGGTTTGGATTGGGTTCTCTGTTAGTGCCGGTGCAAGAAGAAATGAAGAAGAAGACGGAGGAAGGAGAAGTGATGGTGATTCGGACCCTCGAGATGAAACAGAGTCTTAGGTTTTAAGTTTTAGAAAGGAACTTGTGTATATTATACTTTCTCTCCACCCGATCAATCTCGCTTTCCTAAACGTCCGAGCAATTCAATATATCTTCCTCAACTCAAGAGTTCATAATGCCTGCATCAAAAAAAATTACTCTTTCCTCCTCATACTTTTTCTACAGTCTCATAAAATCTAGAGATGAACAGAAGAACAAGATCTTTTTACGTCATTCATGAAGGTGAAGCCACAAGATGGCAAAAGGAGAGAGAGAGATCAAAAGGAATAATTTCTGTTATTGAATAAAGTGTGTATTAGTCACACTATATACATCTTGATTACTAACCTGGAACAAACCGGTTATCAGACTAAACAGAAATGTACCTCTAACAATGTATAATTAAAATACAATTAAACCAATATACCAATATTCCCCCTCAAGATGGAGCATATATGTTAATGAACTCCATCTTGCTCATCAAATGTCGAAAAAGAGAAGGGTAAAGAGGCTTGGTAAGGATGTCAGCAAGTTGGTTTGTTGTCATTACATGAAGAGTTCTGATATGACCTTTCTTAACCCATTCACGAACCATATGGCAATCTCGTTCTATGTGCTTTGTTCGTTCGTGGAAGACGGAGTTGTTGGCGATATGTATTGCAGCAGTGTTGTCACAATACAGAGGAGTAGCTTCCCGAGTGTCTAACCAAAGGTCTTTCAAAAGGTTTTGAAACCAAAGAATCTCTCGAACTTCTTCAGACATTGCACGGTACTCAGACTCGGCTGAAGAGTTAGAAACGGTGTCTTGTTTACTTGACCTCCAAGCAACAAGAGATGGTCCGACAAAGATACAAAGACCGGAGACACTTCGGCATGTATCAGGGAAAGGGCCTCAATCTGCATCAGTGGAAGTAGAGAGTCTTAACTCAGAACAAGATGTGTAGAAAAGAACCAGTCCAACGGTTCCTTTAAGGTAATGGAGAACTTTATAAGCAGCATGAAGGTGTGGGACTCGCGGAGTGGAGGTGAACTGACACAATTTGTGAACAGCAAATGTGATATCAGTCCTTATAAACGTTAGATATAAGAGTTTACCAACAAGTCTACGATATACGTCTGCATTCGGTAAGAGTTCCCCATCTTCAATAGAAAGTTTAATGCTAGGATCCATCGGGATGGAGGATGGTTTGCAACCAAGCATTCCTGTATCAGTTAGGAGATCAAGAATGTACTTTCGCTGACAAATGGAGATACCTGATGCAGACCTCACAATTTCAAGACTAAGGAAATATCGGAGAGTCCCTAAATCACGCAGTTTAAAAGAGGCTTCAAGGGCAGTCTTGAGTAGCTTAGTAGCATGATCACATCTTCTAGCGATGATAATACCATCAACGTAAACCAATACAGCCATATAAACATTACCGGAATGCTTGAGGAAAAGGGTTTGATCCCCTGAAGAAACAGAGAAACCCAACTGAAGTAAGGACTCAGAAAATTTCAGAAACCATTGGTGTGATGCTTGTTTACGGCCATACAAGGATTTCTTCAATTTACAAACAGCAATAGGAGAGAAAGATTCCCCCTGTCTTGGTGAGTATCCTGGTGGTAATTCATGTATATTTCTTCTTCTACGTCTCCGTTCAGAAAAGCATTTGAAATGTCCAATTGTGACAAAGACCATCCTTTGGCTGCAACGACTGCAAGAAGAAGTTTGACAGTGGCTAACTTAGCAACCGAAGAGAAAGTCTCAACATAGTCTATCCCTTCTTTCTGTGTATAGTCCTTAGCAACAAGTCGAGCTTTATAATGTTCCAAGGTACCATCAGCATTAAGTTTAACTTTGAAAACCCATTTGCAACTAACAGCTTGTTTTCCCTCTTGCAGAGAAAAGACTAACCAGGTATCATTCTCCTCAAGGGCTGTAATTTCGATTCCCATAGCATCACACCACTCCTTATGATTACGAGCTTGAGCAAAAGTTCTAGGTTCTGATATGGATGAATATCTGATATGGATCAGAAAGAGCATCATATGATAGAACGTTAGAGATAGGGTGTTCTGTAGAGGAGTTGACAGAGTTGCAATGATAGTCTTGGAGATAGCATGGAGGTTTAGAAACTCTATGTGATGAGGTAGATGAATCTCTATTGAAGTTCAAATCAGGAGATGAAGAGGAAGCAAGTGAAGATTCATCCTGATCAACAGACAGCCTTGGGAAGAAGTCATCATGAGCAGTCTCAGAAGAAGACTTGAGAAAAGGGAATAGATTCTCATGAAACACCACATTCCGAGATATGAACACATCATTGCTTTGAATGTCAAGTAAATTATACCCTTTGAAACCATAAGGATAGCCAAGGAAAACACAAGCACGTGCTCTATCTTGAAACTGATGACGACCCTTAGGTGAAGTACTAGCATAGCAGAACCATCCAAAAGTCTTGAGGTTGGTGTATTCAGGAAGTTTCTGTGTGAGCATCTCATACGGTGTTTTGTTTGAAATAACTGGAGAGGGTGTTCTGTTGATAAGAAACACAGCAGTAAGGATGTAATCCCCCCAGAAGTTCAAAGGAAGTCCAGACTGGAAGAGAAGTGCACGAGCTACATTGAGTATGTGCTGATGCTTACGTTCCACCATTGAGTTTTGCTCAGGAGTCTCCGGGCAAGGGTGGTAGGAGACTATGCCTTTAGCTTTGTAGAGAGCATCAAATCGCAGTTCTGGAGCATTATCAACACGAACTCCTTTGATTGTAACATTATATTACTTCTCTACCATTCAAATGAAGATAGGGAAGACCGTAAGAACATCACTTTTTAGTTTAAGAAAATAAACACAAGTTACTCGAGTGTTATCATCTACGATTGTGAGGAAATACTTGTAGCCTTCTTGTGTGGATTCAGAAAACGCCCCCCAGACATCGATATGAAGTAGTTTAAAAGGTTTAGCGAAAAATTTAGGATGTAAGATAAAAGACAGCTTCTTTTGTTTAGCACAATGACAAATATCACAAGGCATCAATCATTTATTCTTTTCCTTTGAAAATCCAAGTACATCAGAAAGTAGTTCTATGCGCTCAAAAGAACAATGACCAAAGCGTTGGTGCCAAACAGAAGCATCAATAACATTTTTTGTAAAAGAAGGATTAGCGGTAAAGCTAGCAGAAACCCCAACCACATCCAAGACTTACAAGTTTGCAACGCGTCTACTGCTTCCAATCATCGATCCCCTGATAAGATCCTGTATTGCAAAAAAACCAGAATCAAAGACCACTTGAGCACCAGTATCAGAAGTCAAAGAACTGACACTCAGAAGATTCAGTCTGAATTCCGGAAGAAACATAATTCAGACCAATGCCGCCAATGTAGCATTGATAATGATCTGACCAATGCCACCAACTTTTAGGGTAGAACCATTAGGTAGATTTACGAAATGCTGAACCGCAGTATCAAGATTTTTGAAAGCATCAGGATTGTGTGGTGAGTGGCACCAGAGTCCACAATCCATGTATGCATATCAGTGACACATTGAGTGACACTCAAAATCCCAACAAAACTGAATGTTGAGGAGGAAAAAGAAATACCAGAGTGATCAGGGTGTGAAGGAGCAGGAGAAGGAACATGAGGAGTCTAGGTCTGAAACTGAGAGCTGAAATAGGCAATGAAGTCTTGAATTTGATCTTTGTTCAGTTTCCCAACAAGATTATCCTAACCAGAGACGGTGTGAGCATTGTCTTGAACCGCAACATTAGCTGTAACAGCAGTAGACTTCGACTGAGAGAATTTATCATTGTTCCATTTCCCTTTCTTCCAACCAACCGGGTAACCATGTAGTTTGTCGGAACTATCAACTACATGGCCAGTGTTACCACAATGAGAGCAGACAGCTCCTGGTTTCCTTTGAAATGCATTTAATGCACTTTGTGGAGGAGTGTGTGAGTCACCAGACTGAGCTTTGTTAGATGATGTAGTAGAATCATTACTAACTTGGAAAGCAGTCGGAGTAACAACAAAATTAAACTGACGTTGGCTATCTTCCTGGTCCAAAATGTTGAATATCTCAGCAAGATCAGGAAGAGGTTTTCTCATGAGAATCTAACTACGAATAATAGAATATTTCTCACTAAGACCAGCCAAGAACTTGATTATTCTGCTTCGTTCAATCTTAGCTTTGGCTGCACGTTGGCTTAAACAACTCGTTGTGTTGCAACAGAGACAAGTTTCTGGTGGTTCTGTGCCATACAAGTTATCCCAAAGAGTTTCGAGAGTAGTGTAATACCCAGATAAATCCAGAGATCCCAGACGGAGATCTTGAATCTGTTGAATCAACTGAAAAGTCCATGGTAGGTTTGTCTTATGAAACGATTATGAAAGTCATTCCATATCTCAGTCGCGTCATCAAACGAAAAAATACTACCATAGATTGGAGGAGAAACAGAGTTGAGAAGCCAATATTTTACCATGCTATTACAACGAGACCAGATGCGGAAGAGGGGAGTAGTAAAGTCAGGCCGAGGCAGAGATCCATCAATAAACGCGATCTTGTTCTTCGCATCGAGAGCGATCTTCATCGCAGAACACCACTGGGTATAGTTTGACCCAGCCAGGTTAATGGAAATGATCAACAACCCGGGATGAGCGGCATGATGAAGGAAAAGCAGCGAGTGGACACTGTCTGGGTTCATCACGGTGGAGAGAGAAAACAAATCCAGAACAAAAGGAACGGAAGCAGCTTCAGGAGCTGAAGGGGAGCTTGCAGGATGCGGATCGAGCTTCCAGCACGCGTAAAATGACATTACGGCGAGAACGACAAACAGCTACCACCATCGCAGCGACGGAGCAACACAACAAAAGAACAGAGATCGGCGAGAAATCACAAAATGGAGCTCAAAATAATGAGCTGGAAACGATACTCTGATACCATAATAAATCTAGAGATGAACAGAAGAACAAGATCTCTCTACGTCATTCATGAAGGTGAACCCACAAGATGACAAAAGGAGAGAGAGAGATCAAAAGGAACA